CAGTAATGTGCCACATAACCTCATTTTGGTCAACAAGACTGCATATGATGGTAGTCTGTAAGTTCATATTTCCAGATGACAGGATAGTCAGCTTAGTTTGTATAAAAACATTCTGTGATTGCAGCACAGTGGTGAAATTGACTACCTCTCAGATTGTTTCTTTATCATTAAGCAATGCACGGCTACACTACTAAAATCACAAAAACTATGTTATACACAAACTAATGTAAAATTAATTGTTTCTTAAAATGCATTTGTCCAACTTGAGGGAAAACATGAATCATTAGTTTTTATGTTTCCCTCTGCAAATGAAGTAGAGGGGATAAAAGACAAAATTTAAAAGATAAAGATGTAGTTCTGTCAGAAAAACTGTTGGGTTCCATATGTGCACAACATATTTCTAAGATTATATTTCCAGTAGAAAAATTCTTATTTTTAAAAATTTGCATTCTATCAGGTGTTCATTTCTTCTTAATTCTGAATCACTTTTTTACTGACTATAGAGTTCTTTTTTAAGATATTCATGTTTTTTGCATTTTTTATGTTCATATTTGTGTTATATTGGGGGCATATTGTAACATTTACAAAAGTTTTTACAATATATCATACTTGAATTCTCCCCCTTCACCATTCTCCTTCCCTGGAATAGTTTTCTGGAACAGTTCATCATGTCCTATTTTTCCATTTTCATACAGAAGTACAAAATATTTCTACCACATTCACCTTCTTATATCTTTTCCTTATATCCTCCTTCTTGCTTGAGTCTCTTTTGGAATTTTGAACATGTCAGCCCACTACCTTCTGGTCTCAATTGTTTCTGATGAAACATTGGTTGTTAACAGTAAGGGTTTCTTATACAGGATGACAAGTTTCCCCATTGCTCCTTTCATGATTTTCCTTTGGACTGTGACAATTTAAGTATAATGTATCTAACTGGGGATCTCTTTCATTTTGTGCTACTCATGTTTGTTGAGCATGCTGAATATGTGTTCCAATGTTTCACATCAAATTTAGGAAATCTGTGCCCATTAATTCTCAAATATTTGTTCTGTTCTTTTTGGCATCTTCTCTCTTGAGTGTCTCATTATGTCTGTGTTGTTCTTGTAGGTTTTTGAAGTTCTGTTTATTACCCTACCCTATTTGTCCTTTCCACTTCTCAGATTGGATGATCTCAGCTGTTCTCTATTCAAGTCTGTTTATTTTCTTTCTTCTGCCTGCTTAAATCTATTGGTAAGTCCCTGTAGCAAATAGTTCATTTCAGGTTTCATACTTGTCATTTCTAAAATTTCTATTTGTCTATTAAAAATAATTTCTCTTTATTGATATTTTGAATTAGATGAGACACCACTAATATTCTTTATTTTAGTTCTTCAGACATTTTATTTTAGTACTTCCAACATATTTTATTTTGTTTTTATTGTTGTGCTGGGTGGGGGGACATTTTGGCATTTTCAAAACTTCTTACATTATATAAAATATGTCATATTTGAATTCACCACCTCCATCATTCTCCTTTATTTACCCTCCACCCATTCTTGGCATAGTTTCAACAGGTATCATTTTTCCATTTACTGTGTACATGTGTACACAATATTTGTACTGCATTCACCTGCCCTCACTCTTTCCCAGCATATTTTAAATTGACAAAGTTAAAGTCTTTTTCTAGTAAGTCAAACACCTGGCAATACTCACTACAATTTCTATTGATTGTTTTTGTCTAGTGTATTGTTAATATTTTTCTCATTTATTTGTATAACTCATAGATTTGTACTGAATACTAAGCATATTAAATAATACAATTTGGCAACTTTGTAACTTAGATTTTGTCCACATTCAAGGGCTTGGTTTGTTTGTATAATGACCTTCTAACTTAAATTGTTATTCCTTAGCATTGTATTCTTTGCTAAGTGTCTCAATCAAAGCTATTTGGTTAGTTTAAATTATCAGCGATAATTCTCCTCTTCTTTGCCAAAATATTATTCATGGATATTGCAGCATTTTTTGTTCAACATTAAGCTAACCAATTGCCTTCACTTATTGCTTGTGCAGGTCTCAAAGCCAGTCACGGTAAAACTTTGGTCTTCCTCAGATTGTGCAGGAGCATTCATACATCCTCAGCACGTGGGCGATCCTACACATGCATGTATCCTAGATACCTCAAATATGTGAAGCATTTTGAAGCCTTAATGTACATTTTATTTTTTTAGATTTTCCTTTAAGTCTTTTACTTAACAAGTCTATTGTTTGACCCAAATTGTACCTACAAACTCAGAAAGAAGAAAAATTAGATAATTGCCTTTTTGTCAAATGTTACCTTGCAAAAGGCTTTGGACTGAGAGCGCTTTAAGTCACATCAAATCAAGATAGTTTTCCAGAGAGTTATTGGATGGCTGAATAATGACAATTATCTGAGATTGAGAGTGTGAGGAATCACCTACCCTATTCTGTTCTTCCAGTGACTACCAGGCTGAAACTTTCACTGTGAGGAGAGGTTTTAGGGTTTTCAACTCCATCTCAGAACTGTGCAAGCAAAAAGGACACAGGACACAAATCTTTATTTTTCCCAAATAAATGCTCTCTAGATTGCTTCAAGACTTTAATTCATATACAAATTTCTAGAAAAGTTGACTCTGATAATTTTACTTCAAATTGTCTTGTGACTTCATTGAGGAAAAAGTTTTAGAGGCCCTTACAGCACAATTTTTGTTCACATAAGTCTGATGGACTTTATTTCACATAGGATTATGTTGCTTATCAAATAAATAGCACAGCCTACTCAAAAGGTATCAAGTATATATATTTCTTATTTTAGTTGTATAAACTTTACTCATTTTCTTTAAAATATGATAAAATTTCCTTTATCTTGCATTTGAATGACACTTTAAAAAATACAAAGCTTGGATTCCACACATTTTCCTCACACTTGTACATTCACTAAATGTCCCTAAATTCATGTCTCTTTCTTCAATATTGATACCAGGTACAGCTATGTCAAAGATAACATTATGCACAAAAAATTAAAAGAATCTGAAAAACGGATGTACATTTTTTAAAAACTTGGAAAATAACTAGCACTATACCAAGCATGAAAGCCTGAAGGTATTAGAATGTTTGAAAAGAGCTCATTCCTTACAAAGAGAGATTATTTTTATAAATAAATCATGTTTATCAAGCACAACTTATACTCTCTGAGATACACTTTGCCAAAACTATTTTGAATAATTTCTGAATGGAACCAAGAGAGAAACACAAAACTGAATTCAAAGAGAATATCACATATATTTTCTGTATTCTAAGAACCTTATTTAAACATCATATATCAGTAAAATATTTATTCTCTAAAAATTTTTATTACATGCAAATATGGGGTGCAAAATGTATACACATAGTTTCCCATAGACTGAATTACCAGTATATAAGTGATGATAGATGAATAAAAGGAAAAATACAGGAGAGAGGGAAGGAAGGGAAATTGTAAAAGTGCAAGAAGACAAAGAAGAGAGGTAGACTAAGAGGATATATATATATCTATATACCATTGCTTGATACTGACTGTATCTGGATCATGAAGTTTTTTACCTCATTTCAGTTTTATGTTCTAGTATCATAATAATATACTAGTATTACTTTTCATATTATATCTCTAAATGCAACCAGAATTTTAAAAACAAAAAGAAATTCCAAATTTGTGAAATATAAAAAAGCACACCAAGATTAGGATACTTACATATGATTAGAAATTAGAACAATTAATATTACTTGTTTAACTTCCTTAATTATAACTTTATCACAGGGTGATTAATTCACCTGACTTTCTCATTAATTTGAATAAAAAGTAAAATGTTTTAGCTAGCTGGGTTGTTGTAACTAGAATTATTGTAATATTCCATTGTTTAAACTGAAATTAACCTTTCATGTCATTTAAAATTTATTGCATGAATCTCATTCTAAATTAATTACATATACATTATATATAATGGATTAAAATATTTTAAAAACTCAAATATTTTTTCTTAAAATAGAAGATAGAAAATATTATTTGTCAAGTTGGTTCTATAGTAAGTATGAAGAGTTTTAACTTGAAAACCAAAAAATATTAAAATATTAACATTATTGGTTAATAAAATCTCTCAGTGACTGACTTGCTATTTAATATGAAAATCATGCAACAGATTTAATATTTAGAGTATAACATGGTGATTTTTATAGCATAATATTTTATGTTTTCAATTTTATCTGATAAAATAGTCAATTGAGCTGAAGATAATAATTTTAACATAGTGTATGAACTAATATTATTATTATAAATACTTAGAGATATATAGTCTTAAAAAAGGCTTATTTTTTCACCCAAAAGATTATTTTTTCATTGTGTATGCCAATTACATAATTTAGAAAAACAATTTTAAAAATCCTTCAATTAAACCATCTTTTCTGAAAAGTTTTCAGCAAAGAAAAATTTAAGAATTAGAAAACACCTCTGAATACTGGCTAATATGAGAAATTTTTAAGCTCAGTGGAATTTAAATGAATTTATAACAATATTTTCATTTTCTAATTCTATAAATAAAAATTTTAAAATATGACTTGGTCACAGTTTTGAATCAACACTAATTTGAGACATTAATTTTAATTTCTATACAATATAACCATTACAATTGCAAAACTGGTAAATCTAGTATACCTTTTATATACAAACTAACTCTGAATGTTTCTTAGATGCCTCAATTTAAAATTTTCCTTGATGATGAAGGAAACTTCACATATTTTTGTTAAGAAATACTGAGAGGAAAATAAAATATCCAATATTCAATCATTGAAAACCCATCCCTGTTGATGCTTTTTCCCTGTCACAGCCAATTTGAGGTCCCTTCACTCCACCACACCCACACCTCTCCCTGCTTCATAAAAATGCCCAGTGAATTTTCAACCTGTGTAACCTTCAGCACGATGCCTATGTATGCAGCTTACTTTTTAAGAAAAACTTCATAAGAACTTACCCCATTTTTTGGAAAAGCAATCCATCCCAGGTCTCCCATGACAGTGCGTGAATCCAATAAATTCACTGAAAGAGAAAGAATACAATACTGAGCAAAAGTTATAGCAATGTATCATCCCAACTTGGGTTGTATTATTAAAGTGCCTATTGTTTATATAACTGAAATTAAATTATGCTTTGGTGATGATGAATAAGAGAGTTATAATACAGAGAAATCATTATTGGAACACAAGAGAACAAGTGATTTTTAATGAGCATTTGGAGGACAATTACAACAAAAATATATAAACAAGTCATTACCCTAAATATTTTTTTGCCAAATTAAAAAAGAAAAAGGACAACTAATAAGAAAAATAAATGAAAGAAAAGAACACAAAAATAAAAGGCCCATGAAGCCGTTAGTAAAGATACTAGGTTTTGTGATTAAGCTGCAGCCATAAATCTGTAGATAAACATATTTTATTTTCTTCTGGAAAACTGTTATGAAGCAATTAACAATAATCTACATTAAACAGCAATAAACTATTCCCAAGCTTGTAACATTTTCATGATATTAACCAAAATCTGTAATCCAAATGGCAAATTTAATTAAGAAATAAATCTACTCATCCTTAACCAAGACAAGGAAACAGTAGCAATTCATGTGGTTGTTGCTATAGATAAGAGTTCTTTGTGTTTCCTCAAGATATTTTGTACCTAGATATTATCAGAGCCTTAAATGTGTTTCATATACAGCTGTCAAATATGTTATGTCTGAAATTCTAAGACATTTGGAAACTCCCAGGATGTAGATCTGAATATCATCACCATAAAGGAAACCACAGGTGAATATGTACACACATATGCACATATAAATATGTGTACATGCACACACACACATACACTTATACATAAGGTAATTCTATTCAGTCCCAGGAAAATCAACCTAACTTAAGCAGCACTGTCTACTCAAATTCTGCAGATTTAGCTAACAGACCATTATTCCTAACTTCTTTTTAAATCTAACTTACCTAGATGTTTCTGGACCACTGTGCAACTGAACTACGGTTGAATGAGCATGGCATATGGATCCAATAAGCAACCACATGGGTTATTCCTAGTCAGAGGCACTGAAGCCTCTTAAACTACATTGAAGAGTCAGTATCTTGAAATGCCATCAATCCTAAAGGGATGATTGTATCTGCAAGCCCTAGGTATAAAAGGAACAACAGTTGATAGTCTGAGCAATGTTATCCTATTTTATAAAATAATATAGATATAATTACCATGATTGATAGGATTGCCATTGAAATTTTATAAAACCTTTTGAGAATTTAAGCTTTATTATCCATCATTTTTTTAATAGTAGCACAAAGTAATGAGAAAAATATATTTGAGAATACATGTATTTTATAAACCACGGTAAAGGTATATAATAATATTAGCAATGCTAAAACAAATCAATAAGAAAATTGTAAGAAACATAAAAATACACTAATTATATACACATATGTATGATGTTATAGCTAAATATGCTTGTTTGTTTTTCTCACAACTATAAATACAAAAAATGCATGCATGTAATGTTTGTATAATCTGTAGCCTATGTGGATCATATTGGCTGCATGGAATAATAAAAAAATCATTTGTGGGACTGTTAATTTCTTAAAGAATTGATCCCTGAATGGTAAAACTGTTATTTAAAACAAAAACAAGCATAGAAACCAAAATTATTATCCACTGATCATGCAGATCCCACCAGTCATGTCACTACTCTCATTTTTCAGTTAAAGCCATCTTCTTTTTTATTTCTTAACTCTATTGTTGGCTTTTCTGGTTTCCATTGGAATAAAGCTACATTAAGCATGAATGTCCTTGTCCTCATTTTAGTGTTTCTGGGACACTACGGCTCTGTCTAGACATGACTAAATACCAGGGGAGTACAAACTTAAATTGTTATGTTTATTCACTTTAATGATTCATCATTGATATTGAGTAGCAGTATACCTGCGTAGAAGAGATAAAGTAGAACAAATCAGCAAAAGAAGGGGGTTACTGTAACAAGCAGTGAAATCATACTTAATCCTGCATTGGCAAACTGATGTGCATAGGAATTCTAGGAATTCATAGCCAGTCTGCCAGAAGAACAGCATTCCTTATAAGCCTCTTAATAATAGGTGATGTGAAATATTTGTTGTTACCAACAAAATTCCAAATGTCTTTTCAAACACTGGTTTCCCTACCTTGAATGTTTATCTGTAATCTACTTTATTATTTTACCTTATTTTTGGTCCAAAACATGGAAGTAAATAAATGACCTGAAAATATTAGCATATCATTTAGTACAAATTATTGGGAGTTTTCAATACTGAAATACACTACAAAATACAAGATAATATGTGTAATAATAATCTGTATGATTTTGCTTATTATGATTTTATAAAAATGCTTCCACCAGATAGATAGATGAGGTTTATAAGATGTATATATATATGTGTGTGTGTGTGTTTTGTATATAAATATATATATAATTTCCTACTACTGTTCAAAATGGCTTTTTTCCTGGAAACATATACTTTCCTCAAGTTCACAATGAAAATAAGACATTTACATGCACCATTACTGAATTTGCAGTTGAGGAGAATATAAATTGGGTAATCACTTGCAGATAACCTTCAGAGTGCTATATTATAATTACATAATGCTGAGTAAATGCTTTAGACCTAGATCCAGGCCTCAGATACCTCAGAGAAAATAACTAAAATTTATGTGTATATTAATATCTTTCTTTTACCTTCAATACTGAGCAAGCTGCTTTATGTGTCCCAAATAACCTTCTCTTTTTCTGAACTTCTAACCCTTCACTTACCTTTCAAAAAGTACTTTAGGAACTACCATCTTCAGGAAGCCATCACTGATCCTCTCTTTTCTAAGTCTGAATTAGATATTAGTACTAAAAATTCTATTAGCATCCAGTTTCTTATCTCTAAAGAACGAAAATATGTCATTCCCTTAAATGAAACCACAACTAACTCATTCCCATGAACCTAGTCTGAGCTCCAACATCAGAGTAGCTATTTGACTTGTGAATGCATCATTTGGTTGGTGGGAAGATTGAAGATGTGGCTGAATGGACATACACCATTGGTCTTTGGCAAAGATATTTGATAATGGTCAGCAACATTTTTTATTGTAAAAATTTTGCAAGTGAGGAGGGGAGCATTTAATTAAAAGGAGCCAGGCATGAGATTAAGCATTCTGCAATGCACAACAAAAGTTCCAAGAAAGGTCCTGTCATATACCTACTAATACTAACAAAACATCATACTTTCACATTTCTTTGTAGAGTATACCAACAGCATTATCTTTATCAACAGAAGTTACCATATTTGGAAGTAATCCTTAAGAAAAAATAATATATTTAAGAAAAAAACAAATAAAAAATTTTAGTCTTACTTAGGGAAATACAAAGAAGATTCTAACCAATTCCCTTAAATTATTTTCTCAGAAAACAATGCAATTACTACTTATGCTTTAATAATTTCTCAATACTTGTGATGGCATATTTGAAAATCACTAATGTTATTAATGTCATCATTTCCCCTAGTAATTATATAAAATAGCTAAAAAGTAAAAATACAAAAAGGTAATTGTGTAAAAGAAACAAAAGAATAGACAAGGTATATATAAATGCGAATTTTCCAAAGTTCATTTCCCAATTTCATTACCAAACGTATTAAAAGGGGGATTGGCAGTAATAGAGTTACAATCACTAAGTGTCTTTTGTGCTACAATTACAGTAATTAAATTGTTCTCAACAGTATATATGCTTGTTGTAAATTGCAATGAATACACAATGAGTATTGATCTTCATTGTAGAACTTAATTAAAACTTGTCCAGGAGAAACTACTAATGAATATAATTAGAGGAAATGTTTGATACCACAGTTACTATGGAAGACATTAATTAGGTGTCAGAAGTTTTGTGGAAAATGTTTTTATTCTATTATTTATATTTTAAAATAGAGCTACATATTAAACTGATAGACAGCCTCTAAGGGCATTTTTCCCTCAGCTACCAACCATATAATTATGATGAAGATGGGGAATTCTAATGGTATTCTAATCAGTAATTAATAAGACTGCTTCTCTAGGAAAAATAACTATACAGGGGTCAATGAGTATGTAATCTATTGCAAATTCCTGAAGTTAATAGGCAGAGGGAAATAACTCACTGATACAGGATCTTTTAATCAGTGAAAGTCACACAATTATTGATCAAACAAATAATAGATTATAATGGAAATTAATTCTAAATGATCATAAATATGCTTTAATTTTTTACTACACATTAATAATATCAATGCTTTGAACAGGAAAAGTTTTTAAAGAATTTACTTTCAGAAAAAAGCAAAGGATTGCTAATCTATTTCTAAGGGATCCAAAGGGAATAAAGAATAGACAACATGATTACAATAGACTATTCATAAAATGACTGCTAAATTCACAATTTCAGATACTCTTAAAAATTAGAGATTAATTTCAATTAATACAAATATTCTCTTCATGATTATAACTTCCAAACATCCATAACTTGCTCTCTATATTGACTATATTGCTTTCTCTTTAACATGTTGTTAACAATAATCATTATGATCAGGAATGTTTGTTGGATTCCCCAGGAGCTAGATATGCTGGAACAGATCTGATTTTAGGTTTTGAAAAGTCAAAGACAGATTACGGGAATTTGAGTGCATTACTGCCCATCAGTGAAGATAGACTAGGCCTGGAGATAATGTGTGATCCTGGAAGATAAGAAGAGACAATACAGCGCTACAAGGCATAGTCTTACTCATATATTGTTTGTTTCTTCCATGAGCTTCACATCAACAAACACAGTTATAATAGCAGCTAATCCTCTGCCACAATGTGAGGGGAGGATAATTTCTATTAGTAGCAGATAGGATGGCATTCTTTTTTCTCGAAAGACAAAGAATAAAATCCCATAGGGTATAAGAGACTTTTGGTAGATGCTTGCTTATTGATTTCCATTTAACAGAATCAGAAAACCTACTGGATTCAATTAT